TTCCCTGAAAGTCAGAGGGATGGAGCCTGCCTGATGTCAGTGCGGAGGAATTCCACAGTAAAGTACCTCTGGATAAATCCTGCCCATAAAACCTAAGGATCAATGATCAATTAAAATCCGCACAAAAACAGGTAACATTTGCAAGGTAAATTCTCCAGAGGCATATTCTATTAATTCTCCTTATGTGTAAGAGGTTTTCTGGACTATTATAGGCTTATTATTACTAATATTACTAGTATTATGACTATTACTATCATTATTAGCACCAAAGAAGCTTCTTTTTCTCATATTCCCCAGATACATCCAGCAAAACCACTGTTGAATCCAACTCAGCATAGAAGCAGTGTAGGTTTTAATGAGCACCTGTAAGGTTAGCATAAGCAGTGCGATGTCATTGAATAATCCAAATGGGTTATCACAGTCAACTAAATTCAAGGGCAATCTGTAGGAAAGGGAGGCCAATGAACATGAAGATGAAAAGGAAAGGAAAGGGTGCTACAAGGAGTGACTTTTTTTTGGTTGTGTCAGGAGTGACTTTAGAAACTGCAAGTCGCTTCTGGTGTGAGAGAATTGGTCGTCTGCAAGGACGTTGCCCAGGGGACACCCGGATGAATTGATGTTTTTATCATCCTTGTGGGAGGCTCCTCTCATGTCCCCGCATGAGGAGCTGGAGCTGATAGAGGGAGCTCATCCGCCTCTCCCCGGATTCAAACCTGTGACCTGTCAGTCTTCAGTCCCGCCGGCACAGGGGTTTAACCCACTGCGCCACCGGGGGCTCCAAGGAGTGACACTGAAACAATGCAAATCAATTTTCAATGAGTTCAGAAGAATAATAGGAAATGAAAAGCTTTTCTGGTGGTCATAGAATAGAACAAATGTGTTCCAGTTCTGTGCTCAAATTATAACCTTATTCTCCATGCATATAAATAACCATGATGCTGTACTGTGATGTATTTCATTGGCTGCAATCCCTTGATGCAATGACTTGTGTGGTTTTGCCAACATCTATCACAAAAGAAAAAAAGCCCAGTCCTGAACCCCTCTATCAAAACATCTATCATGGCATCCATTATGTCCCGTGAGAGATTTTCTGTTGTTGTTGAATCATTTCAATGTTAGGGAAAAATTTAGAAATCATATGCATGCTGAATTTCAACAGTGTTTTCAGATACGGACCTAAGCAATCAATTCATCTCAATTCAGTTTGCCAATGGCCCTAGTACTATATGACTTTTTATTCTAAAATAATAAAACTTTGAAAATTTAAACCTGTACTGAGATTTTTTTAAAAAATGACTCACACATAATTTAAGAACATTACCTTAGTGCACGTAGAGATATTTGTTTTATTTGGATGCTCATTGTTAAAGGTGGGGGCAGAGGCAGCCCTAAGTAATTTTCAACAGTAAGCAAACAGTATTTTGGTGCCCCCCCCCCAACCAACCATTGATATTTTCTGTTCATCGTGGGAGTCCTGTGAGCCATGTTTGGTTCAATTCCATCATTGGTGGAGTTCAGAATGCTCTTTGATTGTAGGTGAACTATACATCCCAGTAACTACAACTCGCATATGTCAAGGTCTCTTTTCCCCCAAGAGCGCCTCAAGAGTGCCCCTGGGCAAAATCAATTATACTGCAAATGCTTACTTTGCGTAATGGGTTGAGCTGCCCCTGGGTGGGGGCTTATTTGAGGAATAAAATCCCAAACCTCTGAACACCAAATGTGATTGGAATGAGGCTTCTGTGTTTAAAAACCCCAAAAACAAAAGCTGCAATAAGCTGGAACTTTCTTCTGGCCGAAAAACCTTATGAAAGCACTCTGGCCACCACCAACTTAAAAGCACTGGCAAGCCCTTGGCTTACTTGAAGTATCTTGAGCAAGAGAGAGTTGGATTAGCACTCAGGCTTGTGTTCTGAGGTAATACTAAAAGATTGTTCTTTAAAATCTATGCTGCCACCATTAGTCTCTTGTTTGCTGCAGGAAACTGCTTTTAAAACTTCACCCACAAAGGCACACGTGAGGCAGATGTTGTGAACAACAAAACAATGATGTTTATTTAAGAGAACTTGAACAAATCAGGTATAATTCTTAGCTGTTCTGAAGTATTGGCATAAAAGCTTCTTTGAGCAGTTCAAACTTAGTTACAAACAACACTTCTCTCTGCCTCCACAGAATTTACTGACAGGATTTCCTCTCTGAAAGTTTAAAAAAACCCATACTACCTCCACACAGCTGTTTTTAATCATACAGGGTGTCCCAGAAGGGGAAATTGTTGAATTAACCTTTATTGACAAAATATTCACATCAACATTTAAGAATAATAATAATAATAACAACAACAACAACAACAACTTTTTGTAACCCACTTTCGGTATCTGCTGAGGTCGTCATCGTCCCCATCCCCATCCCCCCCCCCCGGGTGGATACCAAAACAAAGCCCCTTTCTCTACAGTTCCCTGGTCTGATATGGGTCTTTTATCTGAAATATAAGGGTGGTATGAGCTGCTGCCTCTGAGTGCATTGGGGTCTCCTTTCCTCTTTCTCTTCTCTTCTCTTCCCTTGCTTTTCTTTTCCTTGCCTTTTCTTTCTCTTCCAATCCCTTGCCTGTCTTCTTTCCTTCTCTTCCCTTGCTTTTATTTATTTTTTGCCTTTTCTTTCTCTTCTTGTCCCTTGTCTACTTTCTTTCCTTCTCTTCTCCTCCCTTCCTCTCCCTTCACTTCCTTTGCCTTCTTTTCTCTTGCCCTTCCTTCCTTTTTCTCTTCCCTTCCCTTCCTTTCCATTACCTTCTTTTCACCTGACCTTCCTTCTCCTTCCTTTTTAATTTTCTCTTCCTTGGCTTTCTTTTGCCTTGCCGTTACCAGCCCCCTCCTGCCACCTGAGAGCCCCAACAAACATGGCCCTCTCCAATCCTGCTCCCCCCTGCCCCTCATCTGGGATTCAGTGGGTTTGGAGCAGTGGCTCCCAACATTTTTAAAAAGTCTGATTCTCTTGAGGAGTTTTGGTGTAAAAAACAATTTTATACTAAAATTCGAAGAATCAACCTGCAATATGTTATGCTCTTCCCCACAACTTATTTATGTGAACAAGAGTTTTCTGCTTTTAATTTTTAAAAAGTCCAGATTGAAAATAAGTGATGATATGCATGTAGCTTTGAGCAATAATATTAGCCCCAGGATTAAAAGAAGTAAAGAAGATGCAAGCTCAGAAACTACATTGATGCAAACCAAATTTAATTTTCTATTAAAATGTTCTTTTTATATTATAATATTACTCTTCATTCATTCTACTATTAAGTTTAATAAATATGTTAAAAGTTTTGACTAAAGTTTATTTTTAGATTAACACAGTTAATTATTCTTGAATCTTGCGGTCCCTGCTAAAAACAAAAATAATGCAAGTGATCCCTGGTCAAAAAAATGTTGAGAATCACTGCACTACACCAACTGATTTTACAGGGGTTAAGTATACCTTTAATTTGAATTGTTACCCAAGAGTCCTTGACTATATGGTGGCAATGGGCCTGGTCCTGTTCAACATCTTTATTAATGGCTTAGATTAAGAGTTAGAAGGCATGATCATTACATTTGCAGATGACACCAAATTGGGAGGGATAGTCAATACTCCAGAGGACAGGAGCAGAATTCAAAATGATCTTGACAGATTAGAGAAATGGGCCAAAACTAACAAAATGAAGTTCAACAGGGACAAATGCAAGATACTCCACTTAGGCAGAAAAAATGAAATGCAAAGATACAGAATAGGAAACACCTGGGTAAAGACCAGTACGTGTGAAAAAGATATTGGAGTCTTCGTGGACAACAAGTTACACATGTGCCAACAATGTCATGCAGTGGTAAAAACAGCCAATGGGGCTTTGGCCTGCATAAATAGGAATATGATGTCTAGATCCAGGGAAGTCATACTACCCCTGTATTCTGCCTTGCTCAGACCACACCTGGAATACTGTGTCCAATTCTGGGCACCTGTGTCCAATTCTGAGACTGGATAGCCATCTGTCTGGGGTGCTTTGAATGTGATTTCCCTGCTTCTTGGCAGGGGGTTGGACTGGATGGCCCACAAGGTCTCTCAATGATTCTATGATTCTAATGAGGCTTTCAGAATTCAGGGAGGTGCTCTGTCAATGCTGTATGCTCTATCCCCTTCCAGCATTTCAATTTTTTTTTTTACAGTGGCACAGAGAACTATCTCATCCACAATATGCTTATGGATAACAGTGCAACAGGCAACCTTCTATAAACCAGTTCACTAACATTTTTAAAACACCCATTTAGTTCTGGCCAACAGAAATTAATCTGTATAGCTAAAACACACTTCACATATCATATATCATTCCTCATTATCGGGCTGGATAAATTTCCTGTTCTAGCAGCCTACCTGGGATGACAAAATGTGGTAGGGCTCTCAAGGCCACACTTTATCACTCATGAGCTATAGTCAGTTTGATGGGTTTTGAATTGCATCTCCCCACCACAGCATCTGCTGAATCAGTGCAGTAAGTATTTTCTAGTGAAATAAGGGATGTTGTCTTATGATACTGTGTTTCCAAACTGATTGCACATTGATTGATTTTTATAATAAATACTTTGAGGTGGAAGATGTTTCAATTTGTTTGTTTTGCCACATGGTAATTGGACTACATTGCTGGGGGGCTCATACAAGACGCCAAAGCAAAGCACCTCTGTGAGATTGAAATACTTCGTATGTGTTGTTATTTGCAGTGCATGCCAAGACAATCATGGGCACAACAGCCAAGCTGGCAAGCTAACTAAGTATATAAATGTATATGTTTAAACAATCTTATAAAGGAGCATTGGAAATCTGCAAGATGAGCGTATATCTTATAACTTCTTCCGCAGGTGCGAGGATAGCTACAAGCCATGGACTTTCTGTCCTGCTTCTTGTTTGTGGCTTTGTGAAGGGTGCTTTGCTTTAATCTAAAAAGTGCTGACTTTTTCCAATATCACTTTCTCTTCTTAAAGCAAAGAGCAAATCATCTGTAAAACCTACGGAGCGGACAGCAAAGTTGACCCTAACTTCCAACTCTGCACCCAATGTACTCTAACTCTCTACACCAAGGAGCATCTTCTTCGGGACAAACACACAAAAATAATCAAAATATTAAACAAATTTTCAAAAAGGAGAGAAGAGGCTACCACATAGTTGCTTTATTTCATAGGTTCCCTTTCTTTGGAATTGGAATAGTGTGCTGGAACATTGTTCAACTTATCAACAACTTATCTCTTCCTTTCTCCCCTTTTTGGTTTGACAAAAGAGAATTGCTGAATTTCCTTCACTATTCAGAGGCTGGCTACAAATTTTTAATACTTTCAAAATGGACATTTGTTCTTGTTTTTGAGGGGAAAGTACCACTCAAAACAGAAAGGAAGAAAAGAACCCAAACTCTCTCTCCCCCAAATCTCAACTAAAGACCTGTCTGACATATAGGAAGTATAAAACATTTCTGTGACAATGGATGGAAATATATGTTTTAAAAGTATTTATTTTCTAAATGAGAAATCTAATAAAAATTCAAAACTGCTTATTGTACAAAAGAACTAGATTTCTGAAAGATATTCAAAGAAGTGTTTAAGCCTCTCTCAGGCATTCTTCTCTCTTTTAATTTTTCCCTGTCCCGTTGTTTTTGGATTTCTTTTCTGTTCTATGGTGGCAAGTAATTGTTGGCCCTGGCCAATCCTTGTGGAGCACATGAAAGTTTGTATAAATACATATTTTGTTTGTGTGTGTTCTCTTTTTTGCTGTTTTTTTCTCTAATTTTGCAACTCCTGTATATGCGAACCTAACTTAAATTCTGTAAATTGCTTACTTGTGTGAAATAACTTCAGAATAGACATCCTGCAAGCCAGTTCTGAATATTATCTCAGTGTTGTGCCACCAACTCACATCTGCTTCCTTTTCAACAAAGCATTCATTTTAATTTGTCATTCAGTACTATGTAGAATTTTGTAATTCATCCATTCACTTTTTGCTGGTCTGAGCCTTTGCAGATGGCAGTGTGACCCTCTGTTTACTCTGTAAAAATGCACATTAAAATTTGTTATGGTCTCCAAATTGTGAATTATTTGGGTTTTTCATATGATAGGTTGGAATTATTTCTCAACTGCTCTTTTAATTTGTGATATTTATTGGAGCAGAAGGTGTTTTGTTTTTTGCTTGGAAAGAAAAAAATATGCTGCTATTGGTTGAAGTAAGTTATCAAGGAAATACCTCTGAGGATGCTTGCCATAGATGCAGGCGAAACGTCAGGAGAAATGCCTCTAAAACATGGCTCTATAGCCCGAAAAAACCCACAAGAACCTAGTGAATCCAGCCATGAAAGCCTTCGACAATATATCAAGGAAAGATTTTTTAATTAACTCAGCTCACTCAGAAATCTTGGAGATTGCTTACCCTCTCATTTCTTTATGTGCATTCAAATGGAATAATATTTCTTGTGTCTCTAGTGTGAAAATGGGCATTTTCTGAATTTGCTGCAGGAGTGGGATTTTATTATCACAATCTTTAGAAAGACTTTTAAATCTGTCAAAGCCTTTGTTTTTCCTAGCTAAATGAGTAATCTAAATGAGTAGCTTGCTTATTGATGTACTGGGGACTTTACAATAAATAAACCCAAGTGCTTTTAAATGTTCTATCTGAACATTCAAGAGGGGATAGTAAATGTGTCATAATTAGCATGTATGTACTTGCCAAAATCCACAGGACAGATCTGTGCATAGCACAGTATATTCTATATCTGAATATCTGAGGTTATATAGAACTGTTGTATACAGATTTGCTTTCCCCCAAATAATTTTAAGAACTGTTGTCAAGTAAAAATGTTGAGGATTCTTGTAAATTAATCGGTAATTCCTTCTTCAGTGCAAACCAGGTGACCATTCCCTGAAGAAAGAGAAATAATAGAAGTGTCAGTAATATCAGCCACATATGTAGATTCCATATTAAATACATTAGAAAAATCCACAATACAAAAGTGTGGTAACAAATTTGTTGTAAAATAAGTCTATTCAGCAGAGCATGGAAAATTATTTATGAATTAGAAAGTCAAGTGAAATCATTTTATGGTGGTCTCAGAGCAAAATTCCGATGAGTAGCTTTACTATTACTAGTTATGTCATTTACTTCATCTAAAATCCCTTCTTCTAGGTGGGAATCTTCTCCTTCCTTACTGCCAGTTAATCTAATCCTGAATTCTACTAGTCCACAAGAGGACTGCACACACAGTTGTGAGATGCCTCTTATTTTATTTATGATTCCAAGAGAACCATTTAGAGTTTGGAGGAAAGGGATATTCAGGAATCGGGGATAAGAAATTAACAATTATTTTCCTTCTACCTCCTCAAATCTTCACCTGTAAGTCTATCTAGTTTTGAAAGTCTTATTTTGAGAGCAGGAAAAACTAAAGGTTTCCCCCTGACATTAAGTCTAGTCGTGTCCGACTCTGGGGGTTGGTGCTCAACTCTATTGCGAGTTTGCATACCATTTTGCAGGCAAAGTTGCTCAGATACGTCTTGAGCTGAACTCCAATTTCATCACAGTGCCAGGGGAGGTGACTGAGGCATCTGCTTGTTTGATTTTGTGTGATTCTTTTAGGCATGTTCTTCCTGAGACCGTGGAGGAGGTCCTTTGTGCTGTGGAGGCGACCACGTCGGCTTTAGACCCTTGCCCGTCTTGGCTAATTAAATCGGCCAGGGATGGGTTGACTGATTGGTTTGTGTTGATCATTAATGCATCACTGGAGCAGGGTGTTTTTCCATCTCGACTAAAACAGGCTGTGGACCACTCCTGAAAAGGCTTCCCTTGACTCCACGGTGCTGAACAACTACAGACCAATCTCCAACCTCCCTTTCTTGGGCAAGTTGCTGGAGCGGGTGGTTGCCTCCAGGGTTTTCTAGATGACATCAATTACCTGGACCAGTCATGGTCTGGCTTCAGGCCTGGCCACGGTTCCGAGATGGCTTTGGTCGCCTTGGTGGATAACCTCCGCAGGGAACTGGACAGGGGGAGTGTGACCCTGTTGGTTCTCTTGGACATCTCAGAGGCTTTCGATTCCATCGATCATGGTATCCTTCTGGGACGACTCTCTGGGATGGGTCTCGGGGGCACGGTTCTGTCGTGGCTCCGGTCCTTCCTGGAGGGTCGATCCCAGATGGTGAAGCTGGGAGACGCCTGCTCAGACCCCTGGCCTTTGACCTGTGGGGTCCCACAAGGCTCTATTCTGTCTCCCATGCTTTTTAACATCTACATGAAACCGCTGGGAGAGGTCATCAGGAGTTTTGGAGTTGGGTGCCACCTCTATACAGATGACGCACAACTCTACTACTCCTTTCCACCTAATTCCAAGGAAGCCTCTCGGTTGCTGGACGAGTGTCTGGCTGCTGCGGCTGTCTGGATGAGGCTGAACAAGCTGAAGATTTATCCCGACAAGACAGAGGTCCTTCTGGTGAATCGTAAACCGGATCGGGGTATAGAGTGGCAACCTATGCTGGACGGGGTTACACTCCCCTTGAAGTCACAGGTCCGCAGTTTGGGTGTCCTCTTGGACTCATCACTCACACTTGAAGCTCAGCCGTCGGCGGTGGCCGGGAGGGCTTTTGCACAATTGAGACTCGTGCGCCAACTGCGACCGTACCTCATGAAGGCGGATCTGGCCAGGGTGGTCCATGCCTTAGTCACCTCCAGATTGGACTACTGTAATGCGCTCTACGTGGGGCTGCCCTTGAAAACGGCCCAGAAATTCAAACTGGTCCAATGGGCGGCGGCCAGGTTGTAGTAAAAGCACTCTCTGTCAAAGAGTGCTGGTGTCTCACCTAACCATGTTTCCATACTATTGAGCCATGGCAGTTAAAGTGGTAACAGGTAAGACATACATGTTTCGACAGGCTTTTAATGTTTGTTAGTGTTGTTTTTAAATTGTTTTAAATTGCTTTTAAATTTTGTTAGATTTTAGCTATTCTTGTAAGCCGCTCCGAGCCCCAGGGGAGTGGTGGCATATAAGTTTAAATAATAAATAAATAAATAAACAAGATGCATTTATATCCCTGGATATCAGAAGCTCTTAGTGGTCCAACCCAGCAAGGATTTCTTTCTCTTTGTTTTCCTCTTATTAATTCCATCTTGGATCTTGCACCTACATTTGAAGTCAGTTCCTTTCTCTTCCCTACATTTTAATTCACATAGCATGACATCCCTGAGGTTCATCAGATACTAAAAAATTATTACAGTACTCCTTTTTTTCACTCCTAAATTGATAGAAGATGGGATGTGCTGAGAAATAATGAACACATTGTAGGTGGATGTTTGTGTTCTTAGGTATGCCTAGCAATGTTATCACAGCGATGCAGCTTCCATGTTAAAATGCTCTTTCTGCATTGATCATTAAAATGAAGGGCACAGCCAATTGATGCAATGATGAAATGAAGTTTCTGAGGTATTTGAGGGGAAACATTGAGAGAATTGGTGAAATTTCACAGTGGGAAAGGCAACTGGGGACACATCTACACTGACCATTTAATGCAATTTCAACTGGTATTGAAAAAGTGGTTTTGCTGTGCAAATGATTACATAGGAAATCCTGAAATCAGTTTGCATCCCCGACAGTGATTACTAGGAATATGCAATTTGGTTAAAACCTGTTCTGTTGTTGGTGTCCCAAATTCAGTGACTCCCTCTGATCAGGTTTTTGGGAGTTTCCTGAATTCGAGCAAACAAAAATCAATTTTTTGGTCTGGCAGCTGAAAGATCTGATTTTTATTCAGGAATATCCAACCCATTGGCGGCAATGGGGAACTTCCCAAGCTCTCATTTCCATTTTTTAGGGCATCAATATTAAGAAAACTGGCATCCTTTCCCCTTATATTCTTCAAGAAGACCTGGGTTTAAGGCATCAGACTTAAGAAACCATCTTCTCTGGCATCATTTCTACTCAACACCCTTTCAATGAAGCTGAATTAAGGCATTATTTTTAAACACTTTTTCAGTGGGAGCCACACCACCTGAAGGAGCATTAGCCATTCTTTAAAAATTATATAAATTACCCCCTCCTTTTTGTGGCTTTCGAAATGGCAAGATACCTCTACCCCACATTTGAAGCTTGCTTCATGTGAAGGGCACCATTGGTGGAAGTTTCTTAAGTGTGTAGAAAATAAACTCTAATTTATAGCTATTTGAGTCAAAAAGCAGGGCAAGTGATGATTGGTAATTCTATGAATCTATAATCCATCTTGGAACCGATTGAAACAGAACTCATTTCTCAGTGTGTTTCAATTGACAGGCCTTGAAAGGATGTGAAACCAGGAACCTGACCTCAAACCTCTTTATGCGCCCCCCCCCCTTTTCTCATGGAGATGTGTGTCAACACACCAGAGGCATACAAGGTGAATGAGTAAAATGATCAAAGGTCTGGAGAACAAGTTCTATGAAGAACGGCTTAAAGAGTTGGGCCTGTAGAAGTGAAGGTCGAGAGGAGACATGACTTCCCATGTGAGAAGTCACAAGGAGGAGCTTGATTTCTGCTGCCCTGGAGACTAGTAAACGGAACAATGGCTTCATACTTCAAGAAAGGAGATTCCACCTGAGCATTAGGAGGAATTTCCTAAGTTTGAGAGCTGTTCCGCAGTGGGACTCTGCCCAGCAGTGTGGTGGAAGCTCCTTCTTTGTAGGATTTTGAACAGAGACTGAATAGCCATCTGTCAGGAGTGCTTTGAAGGCAATTTTCCTGCTTCTTGGCAGTGGGTTGAACTGGATGACCCACAAGGTCTCTTTCAACTCAATAATTCTATGAGTCTATGATTCTAAGAAGAGAAAGTTAGCACCAGATGAAATAAATTACCCCTCCCAAGGACTCAATTATCCCCTTCCTGCCCAGCCATGTCCTTGGGCTGTTTCTTGGCTGACCCCCTTCAGGATTATTTACTGTGCTTCAGTGAGCCAGGTGTCTATGTTGGGTAAGTTTCCGAACTCTTGGGCAGAGGCAAATATAGTTCTTATCCCAAAATAGGATAGAGATATGGAACAGGTGAAGAATTATAGACCAGTCTCACCCTTAAATTGCA